TAAAAAAATATGATTATTCCAAAGTACTTAATTTTATTTATTTAACTTCAATGCACACAACAAATGTGTGTGCAACACATACAAAATATAGTAAAGTACATTTGGCGGACTTAACACCATGCGGCATTTTCTACCAGGCAACCATAGGTGGTGCAGAGAATAATTGTTGGCGGTGCAAATATAATAAATGATGATCAGCAACAATTATATTAAGTTTAATTAATTAAATATCTAAATATATATAACTCAAAGGTGACTGACATAGTGATCTATCAACGCACAGCCCAAACCACTGGACGGTTCGGGCTGAAATTTGACATGCAGGTAGATGTTATGACGTAGGCACCCGCTAAGAAAGAATTTTTATTAATTCTACCCCCAATGGGATAAAATAGGGGAAGAAATTTTGTATGAAACTGTCCATTTTATACCGATCGGGCTGAGACCTTGCATGCATAAATCTACTGTGACGTAGGCATCCCCTAAGAAAGGATTTTGATAAATTCCACCCCTAAGGGGATAAATTAACGCGAGCGAAGCCGCGGCAAAAGCTAGTAAAGAAATAAGTATAGTTATTGATAATTTGAAATACTAGTAAATCTTTAGATTTACGTTTAAACGTGTCTTTGGAAAATATGTCTGAAGGAATTGCAATGAAATTTTCACAGCATATAAGTTTCGTATTAGTTTAGATTAAAACCAGATTAAAATCATGTAGGACATTTTAGTCGGGATCCTAAGAAATGATTTTGATAAATTCCACCCCTAAGGGGATAAATTAACGCGAGCGAAGCCGCAGGCAAAAGCTAGTTATTATATGTATATATAAATTATGTATTAAAAACAAGGAAAATAATTAGTACCTATTAATTACCTTCTTGTCGCAAATTTTTGATTATAAAGAAATAGAAATAAAGTTTATGACAGATTAGCAAACGGATAGAGTTCACTGTCCCCACTGTGTTGCAGACTGTATCTACTACTCGAAAACTGTTCTATCTACTTAAATACTAACATAGATATACGACATACTACTCGAAAACAGTTCTATCTACTTAAATACTAACATAGATATACGACATACTACTCGAAAACTGTTCTATCTACTTAAATACTAACATAGATATACGACATACTACTCGAAAACAGTTCTATCTACTTAAATACTAACATAGATATACGACATACTACTCGAAAACAGTTCTATCTACTTAAATACTAACATAGATATACGACATACTACTCGAAAACTGTTCTATCTACTTAAATACTACATAGATATACGACATACTACTCGAAAACTGTTCTATCTACTTAAATACTAACATAGATATACGACATACTACTCGAAAACTGTTCTATATACTTAAATACTAACATAGATATACGACATACTACTCGAAAACTGTTCTATATACTTAAATACTAACATAGATATACGACATACTACTCGAAAACTGATATACGACATACTACTCGAAAACTGTTCTATCTACTTAAATACTAACATAGATATACGACATACTACTCGAAAACAGTTCTATCTACTTAAATACTAACATAGATATACGACATACTACTCGAAAACAGTTCTATCTACTTAAATACTAACATAGATATACCATACTACTCGAAAACAGTTCTATCTACTTAAATACTAACATAGATATACGACATACTACTCGAAAACTGTTCTATCTACTTAAATACTAACATAGATATACGACATACTACTCGAAAACTGTTCTATCTACTTAAATACTACATAGAATAGACGTAACTTCGCCATATTTTGCTCGTTTGTGCAACAGTTTTTATACAAGCTCCTCTCCTATTTTTTTTTTGTGGATGATAATGGAATGATGCACCTGCCTGCGCTAACGGTTTACGCTGGCGGGGCACCAGTGGAGGATAATAAGATGAGCATGAGGTCAGGTCAGTTAGCCCATCGTGACAAATTCACCAGGAATTTATCACGATGGTTTCCAGGGGGAACCGCGTGGAGGTCAATGGTACATTGCTAGCAATATGATCATCAGTTCACATTACTAATAATCACCTTTCCCCGCTCTTCTCCTATTAGTTATAGAGTGATGTTATATAGCCTATAGCCATCTTCTAGGGTTATCCAAAACTGAAAGAAATTTCAAAATCGGATCAGCAATACTGGAGGTTATACCAAAAAAAACTCACAATACAATTTTATAATTATTATAATAATATTAGAAAATATTGAGCATAAAAATACCGTCAAATAGAGATCTTTATGCTTTTCCGAAGTTGCTTAAAATAAGGTATTTTGTGGTATTTATGATCACTACAACAATTAATAACATACAGTAATTAAGTATAATATTGTTTGTTTAATTGTCATAATAAGATAGTCCAAAATATAGTAAACAAAAACTTATATTTGATATTTTAAAACTATATTTAAGTATTTGTTACTTTTTGTTACTGAAGTGACAATAAACAGGGCACATAGCTCGTAGGACAGATGGCTGTTGGGGCAACAAAGTCCTCGAGTGGAGACCATCTGGAAGACGCAGCGTGGGAAGGCCTCCGACAAGGTGGACCGATGATCGCTGGAGAGCGTTGGATGCGAGCAGCGCAGGACCGATCGTCGTGGAGATCTTTGGGGGAGGCCTATGTCCAGCAGAGGACGTCTTCCTGGCTGAGATGATGATGATACTAAGTAACCTAAAATTTGTTACTGTTTAAATAATTAATTTATTCCTGAACATTCTAAATTATAAAATAACATTTAAAGTACCTATTTTAGATTTAATCGGACCGTCTCAATATTATGAATATTTTTTCCTTATATAAATTATCTTGTAATTAAAAAATACACCCTAATCAGAAGCTTATATCGAGAGAGAGGTTGTATCGTCTAATCTATACATATAAATAAAATTGTAGTGTCTGTTTGTAATATTGAAATAACCGTTTTTTACTGCATGCATATGAATATAAATACGGAACATACACCAAAATAACATTTTTTAGAATTTTTGTCTGTCTGTCTGTCGGTCTGTTTGTTCCGGCTAATCTCTGAAACGGCTGAACCGATTTTAACGGGACTTTTTTTGGCAGGTAGCTGATGTAATAGGGAGTAACTTAGACTACTTTTAATTTAAAAAATAAAGTTAATTTCCACGCGGACGAAGTCGCGGGTACAGCTAGTAATAAATAAAATAAAACCGTAAAAGTGTCTGTACATTAAAATTTATTTCAAAAACACTATATTTTATGGATGATAATGGAATGGTGATAATCTAATGGTTTACGCTGGCGGGGCACCAGTGGAGGATAAGATGAGCATGAAGTTTGTAGTGAAATCATAAAGAAATCATAGCCAAAGTTTTTAAGGGTTGTTATGTGGAGATAGAGCTGACTTGGTACATAGCTATGAATTAGGTATCTAGTTTCTGAGACTAACAGGCTCCACCTAATTAAAATATAGATATCACCCGCGTATCAAATTTATAGCCTATATGTTATTCTGATGTATATGCTATATTACTGTAAAGTTTCATCAAAATCCGTTCAATAGTTTTTGCGTGAAAGAGTAACAAACATCCATTCATACTCACAAACTTTCGCGTTTATATTAATAATAAGATATACTTACGAGAATAATTATAAAATATATTAATAAGAGATATTTTTGGATTAATTTATATTTATATATATGTGGGGATGAATTCGCGAGCGAGCGGTGCGATGGTAAAAGGTTTCGCGAGCGAGCGGTGCGATGGTAAAAGGTACCTTTATATTGGTAATATACCTATAGTTACCTTTTACCATCGCACCGCTCGCTCGCGAATTCATCCCCACACGCTAGAACCTAACTGGTCTCGGACAGTGCGGTTTCTGAGTTGCTTCTTCCCACCTACACTTACATTGTGGAATGAACTTCCTGCCGAGGTTTTCTCAAGAGACTACAGCATGGGGTTTTTCAAGAAGGGTATATTAAGGTTTCTTAAGGGTCGGCAACGCGCACGTGACACTCCTGGTGACTCAAGCGTCCATAGGCTACAGTAACCATTTACCATCAGATGGGCCGTATGCTTGATTGCCACTATCGTAGTATAAAAAAAAATACAAACAACTTACAAAAACTATAATAACAAAGATATATGAGAAAACTGTTCCACCAATCCACCAATTCCACTGAATCCTTCAAAGATAAGGGAAGGAAATCTTTAGCATAAATCTACTGGGATAAGTCCATCTTACAATAGCGTACTTTTGCAAAAGAATTTCTTCATTCGAATTACATTAATTTTATATATGAATTGTGTCTCAGGTGTCCATAGGCTACGTTAACCGTTTACCATCAACGCCGAATACTAGTTTCTCACATACATAGTATAAAAAAAAATCAAATTCAAAAATAAATTATTCATATAGGACATTGTAGCCGCTTATGAATGTCAAATTTTATATATTATAATTTTTTCCCTACCGTCCAGTTCAGTATATGTATAGATCCAATTGAGAAGAACTGGCAATAGAATACAATAAAGATGTTTTGATTTGATCTGACTTAAAATGTTTTCAGTTATTAAAAAAAATAGACCAACGATATATATAATATAATAATATATAAAAAAATAAACAAAATATTTGTTTAATTTAATTAAACAAAAACAAAAAACGCGATTGAAAAGTGTATTAAATGTACGTGAAGATACTGTGAGTACAGTTTGCCGAGATGAATATCGAGCGAGTTCCAGTAGTAGCAACAAACGAAGACGTGTGAAGGTAGACGCATATGTCTGCCCATAAAAAGATTTCATTTTCCATCTACCCGCTGCTCTTCAGTTTACCCGTGATCATGGCGGTTGAAACACTACCGAAATATCGGGAACTCAGCAAATAAATATAAAACGTGGTAAGATCCCGTGATTTTTACTAATTATACGTATAAACATTTTTGTTTTAATGTCAAACGTATATTATATACGTGTTTATTATATACGTCTTATTAATATTGTTGAAGCGATATGTACAAAGTCGCAGGATTAGTTAGTCTAAATTATTAATCACATATCTCCGACATTGATCAGATAACATTTGTTATTAAAAACATATATATATATCCGAGGGGTTAGTGCATTCGCTGCAGTATATACAGAAACATAGTGTGTAAAAAAAATTGTGTATAAGTGCAATAATTACTAAGATATGTACGGTATGTATACCTAATTATAACATATATATATATTACTAGCTAACGCCGTAATTTTTTTTATCATATAAAATAAAAGTATCTATTACAAAATAGGGGTTGGTGGTGGAAGGGTGAAAATTTAGGGTTGTATGTATTTTTTAATAGCACATTATAAGAAATGAAATATGAAATATGTTGTTCAAAAACTTTTTTTTAAATATTTAAAATGGACTACCCTTATCATTTAGGAGTATGAAAAATAGATAGTAACCGATTCTTAGACCTACTCAATATGCATATAAAATTTCATAAAAATCCATCAAGCACTTTGAGAGAATTATGGTAACTAGAATTGTGACACGAGAAATTTATATATAAGACTCTATATTAAAAGAGTACAGTAAAAACTCGTCTGCATGTATACCTCAGTCACACCTATTTCAGCCAAGCAGCTTGCTTTGTAAGCTGTTTCGGTTGTATGGTACAGATTAAGCAGTGAAATTACAGGTTAAGAGGCGTGACATCTTAGTACTCTGGATTGATAACGCATGAATGGTATCACGGGTGATACATCATAACGTATCTATAGTGCTGTTCATATATAAAGACGTCGGTTACCACTTACCATCAGATGGACCGTCACCTTGTCGTCACCATCAGATGGACCGTCACCTTGTCGTCACCATCAGATGGACCGTCACCTTGTCGTCCATTCTCATTCATTCATAATTCAAGAGCGACACTCTTGTCGCCTGCTCTTAACACTTTCCAAGATTTTTATGCTCTTTAAATGTTGATAGATGACGACTCCAATTTTGTTTTAAATTTGCTTGATGTAGCTGTGCCTCGGTCGTATTCTTCCCCTCTCTCCTTCAGTTTATCCTTCTTATCACTACGACTGATTTAATCTTATTGCATATTTATATTTGATCCAAAAAATTAGTGCTTGTTGGTAGTTTGTTTCGACTTGTAAATGTAAACTTACAAGGATTATTTAAAAGAGCAACACACTAATTTCTTGCTCGTTCTTCTTGTGATGAGACAGCTTTCCGAACGAGTGGTAGATAAAAAACAAATTGTTATGACTATTCAAAAGTGATTAAATTAAGTTTATTTGAATAAATGTTTTTCTATTCTTCTCTCAATAATAATTCTCATAAATTCATCGTGCCTTAGATGTTGCTCTTACTTCTTAGACATCAAGTGTCCTAATATTTTCCATCGTCTACTTTCTATAATGTTTAATATCTGCCTTTCTTTAATATCTTTTTCATATAGTATTCTATTCTTGTGATGATGCATTCCGAATGAGTGGTAAAATAAAAAAACTTGACTATTCAATAGTGCTTACATTAAGTTTATTTGAATAAAGATTATTTCTATTTGTATTTCTATTGCCTTTTTTCTTTCATCCTGTGAAAAACTTCTTCATTTCATAATTTATTCATTGTCCATTCAATTATATAAAATAATAATAAAAATGTAACCAAGTACTTTAATAACAATGTTACTTATTACAACTGAGGAATTATTCGACATGATCCCGACAGCCACCTTTTACCATCGTACCGCTCGCCATCGACAGGGAATTGCACCACACGCTGAAACCTACGTGGTCTCGGACAGTGCTTCAGAGGAGGTTCCTCCCGCGTATACATTGTGGAATGAACTTCCTGCCGAGGTTTTCTCTCGAGGCTACAGCATGAGGTTTTTTAAGAAGAGTATATTAAGGTTTCTTAAGGGTCGGCAACGCGTGTGATACCCCTGGTGTTTCAGGCGTCCATAGGCTACGGTAACTATTTACCATCAGATGGGCCGTATGCTTGATAGCCACCATCGTAGTATAAAAAAAAATACAAACAACTTACAAAAACTATAATAACAAAGATATATGAGAAAACTGATCCAACAATTCCACTCAATCCTTTAAAGAAGGAAGGAAATCTTTTGGATTAAGTCCATCTTACAATAGCGTACTTTTGCAAAAGAATTTCTTCATTTGAATTACATTAATTTTATAAGTGAATTGTGTCTTTTTATACATAATCTTTATCTTATATATAAAATTCTCGCGTCACAGTTTTCGTTCCCATACTCCTCCGAAACGGCTTGACCGATTCTCATGAAATTTTGTGAGCGTATTGAGTAGGTCTGAGAATCGGCCAACATCTATTTTTCATCCCCCTAAATGTGAGGGGTAGTCCACCCTTAAATTTTTTATTTTATTTTACGTAAAACAACGTTTGCAGGGACAGCTAGTATAAAACAAAGTCTCCGACGCTGCCTTTTTGTTTAGATCATTAATTTTAACGGATTTTAATGCAGTTTTCAGCAATAGATAGAGTGATTCAAGAAGAAGGTTTATATGTAGGATACATGTATATTATAGCACAGAATGTGCTATACACAGAAAGCCTAAAATTTGAGATGGTTTTTAGCGAAGCCGAGGCGGGTCACTAGCTTATTCAAGTCGATATATCAGTCAATTAACTAATAAAGGGTTTAAATAATTGCACACCCGGGCGAAGCCGGGGCAAGCTAGTAATTTGATAAAAATATCATAATGCCGATTTGAAAGCAATGGATTCACTAGTTCCCAAAATTAACACTTCCATCCACTATTTTCTTTGTTATAGGGACTCGCTAATTCTAAACGGAAATCGCAATTACAACGGCTGACCATATTCCAATACCATATGGTATTAGAAAAAAAATATATATAAAAAAAAAAACAAAAAAATTGTATATACATCTATATATCTAAAAATGAATTGCTGTTCGTTAGTCTCGCTAAAACTCGAGAACGGCTGAACCGATTTGGCTAATTTTAGTCTTGAAATATTCGTGGGAGTCCAGAAGGTTTAAAAAAAATGAAGAAATTGCATGGAGAAATAGTAGAAACAACAATTTTATTCTTCCATACAAACTGTCAAAAGGCGTTCAGATATTTATTGCGTAACTTAAAATTCAATATATATATAAACAGAGTTCGCGGGGTCAGCTAGTATATATATATAAACTTCTGTAAACAATATCGCATGCCGTGGCAACCAGTAATTAAGTCAACACTATATACCTGAACTCTTTGCAAGTTATAATAATTGTAACCTCATGGTGTATGTCTTGTTGGTCGCTCAAATAAATAAATAAATAAATAAAATAGATGGTCTTAGAACTACTAAATACTATATTGTTATTGAATTGTTAAGGAAAAATTTAATTATTAAATATATAGGTAGGTTAACAACTACGAAAATATACCTAATCTCCTAATAAATATTTTGTTGATAAGTTAAGTTTGTTGTTGTTATTTAAAACAAATACATACCTATTCGCTACTGTATCTTGCTCTTTGGTCTACCAAACAGCTACTGAATGACAGTAGGAAAATGTAGTGTGGCGACACGGTTGAGATACGGCAGTGCTCAGTGGACAATATTGAATTTGTCTGGCTAGCTATTATTGACTGATACAAACAGTCACTTATGAATACGTTTGTACTTTGCGAGGAATCGAACCCGCTACCATGGGAAGTAGGGCGGTATGCTAAACCGCTAGATCACCGAGGCCGTCTGTATGTAATAAATATTATATTATCTGTGGTAATAACATCGGAAATAAAGTATTTGTGGTCCGGGTCTCCATCATGTTCTACCTTCACGAATTATCTAGACACGCGGCAGCGTGTCAAAGCCGAGTTTCAAGTAAGAGAAATGGCGAGCAGCACCGTGTGTTGTTTTACACGAACCATTTGGAGCCAATTTTGACCCCCTCATAACTCAAAAACTCTTTCACATAAACCTGTCAAATTTGGTTTATATATTGAGACTTCGAGATAAATATGTGTTCCAAATTTCATAAACATATCTATCGTCCAAATATCGTCATTTTTATCACTGATCAACTATAGATCAAAATTATAACCCACTTCCAGATGACCTAGGAAGTTCAAATTTGGATGCAGGATAATATATTGTAGCCTAAGGTTTGACTTGGCTAGTTCTCATACCAATTATAAGTTTTGATGGCTAATTTCGACAAGTAACAGGTTTATCGAAGGCTCAGTATACGTATATTAGCCAAGTCAGACCTTAGGCTACAGTATATTATCCTAAGTTATAAGAAGAAATTATATTTTATATTGTTATAAATATATTTTAAGACAGACCATTGAACTTGGCACCCATTTAGATCTCACCTCTTTTGTCGTAGAAGTCAACAATCAAATTTGAAATACTATCCTGATCATCTGGATGAATGGCGGTCTTCCACAGTGCGGTTTTCTTGAAACTTTTTGCCACGCACAACCACATTGTGGAATCACCTTCCAGCAATGGTATTTCCGAACCGATACCTTCAAAAAAAGAGCTTATTCCTTTTTAAAAGGCCGACAACGTACTTGCTATACCCCTGGTATTGCGGGTGCTCATGGGCGGCGGTAATCACTTACCATCCTGTGAGCCGCATGCTCGTTTGTCCCCTGTCATATAAAAAAAAATCAAGGCATATATCATAATATTGAACTCGGCTATCATTTATGTTTTTGATGGGATATATTAGAAGAGAATGAAGTTAGGTCAGATTGCCCATCGTGACAAAGTGACCAAGAATTTACCACGATGGTAGACAATATTGAATCTGTCTTGCTGTTTACTGTCCTATACCATATAATAAAGGTATTTACCTCTCTCGACGTTTCGATTAGCTGACTGCAGTCAGCTCGTGACCACGGCTAGTGCAACCTAGTCGAAACGTCGAGAGAGGTAAATACCTTTATTTGCCATAAAATTATTCGTGTTAAGACCCGGTTAATAATTTAAATAATGTATATTAAACACGAAAGTTTAAAATTAACTATCCGTCCATACTCACAAACATTCGCGTTTATAGTATTAATAAGATGTTCTGGTACAGGGAAGTTCCTGCTGCTCGCACTCCTGGCTGTCTGCCAGGGGAACGTCATAAAGAATTCAGAACCATTTGAAGAGTGCTCTGAATGTCCTCTGGATAAGCATTACCTGCTGCCCCACGAGTATGACTGCACAAAGTTCTACTACTGCGAGTATGGTGTGAGATGGACAACCCCGAGAGACTGCGCTCCGGGAACTGAGTTCTCATTTGAATTGCAAGTAAGTATAATTTTTGCGACCCAGTGGTTTTATTTTTCGGGCTACTCTAATGCTGTTGGCTGCAGCTGGCCTTTACAGCTTCACCGGATGATAGGGGGCGAGAGCAGATGGCACTCCAAACCAAAGGAAGGACTTATAGAGCGGCTGAAGGGCAACTCCCGCCTGATACGACTTTACTCTGAGGGCACCCCTAGGGTTTCGAATCTCGGCTCAGACCGTCGTAATTTCCCCGATTGTATTAGACGGGGGATCGATCAGAGGGATCTAGTGGTCTAGCGGTTTAGCTCTGTTTAGCGGTTAGGGTTTGGGTTCGATTGAAATTGTTGAAATAAAATGAGGCAATTCAAATATTAAATTAAACAAATTTTGTGTAAAACAGCCTATTATAGGATTGATGAATTCATAGATGACAGCAAAATCTAGCAAGAATAAGTTTATTTGCGGACGACGTTATAATTATTTTTCTTACTGCTTTCTTGAAATATGATAGCGTAGCGGTGATGCATACTTATATGGCGGCGGCGTGGTGGGCCGGGTCGTTGGGGTCCCTAAAATATGGTCGAGCGCAGTGATGGCTGACTCATCCGTCGTACTCGTGAACGAGTGCTGCTTGTACTGAGACTGGTCTGCTCTAATCTAATGACTGATTTAATCTTATTGCGTAATATTTGACCCTGACAAACCAACTATAGTTTGTATTCTCACGTTTCGACTTGTAAAATGTGAACTTACAACAATTATTTTAAAGAGCAACACTCAAGTTTCTTGCTCATTCATCTTGTCATGAGACAGTTTTCCGAATGAGTGGTAGTTTAAATTTTTTTTATGACTATTCAAAAGTGTTTAAATTAAGTTTATTTGAATAACGGGTTTTCTATTCTATTCTATTTTAATAGGGGTTAACAGTAACGACTTTGTTCATGAACTTTAACCCTATCATTGAATAGGGATTGCATTAAAATTACATCGGTTATATATAACAGTTAAGGTTAACATTATCTAATTTGTTTATTGTACTAGATTAAAACCGGATTTTTAGGATAACGTCAATAATACCGATAGATATCGTAAAATGACTCAATTCCGATTTTAATAGCACGGAATTGGCGCAGTAACAATTATCTACCTTTAATCTAACACAGAGTGTCGTAAAGGCGTAGTGGTTACTTCCATTTTAACTGATAGGTCGGAGGTTCAAATATGGCCGAGATAAAAAAAAGGTAAAGGAATGTGATAATGAAATTTTTATTTACGGGTTTTAAAATAATTTTTTTATAAAAGGATTTGTAATGATTTTTGAATTTTTTTTTTATTTATTGCTTCAAAAATATAGAAAATTTGTTTTAAAGTATCCTATATTCATTCTAATACCTCCAACAACATGTCTATAAAATTTCATGATAATCGGTTCAGTAGTTTTTGCGTGAAAGCGTAACACACAGCCTCACATTTATAATATTAGTAAGGATATGTTATTCTGATGTATAAGCTATATCACTATTGAGTTTCATCAAAATCCGTTCAGTAGTTTTTGCGTGAAATAGCAACATCAATCCATACATACTCACAAACATTCGCGTTTAAAATTAAAAAAGATGTATTTACAAATAATATATCTAATCTATAATAATCTAAATATATATATATAACTCAAATGTGACTGACATGGTGATCTATCAACGCACAGCCCAAACCACTGGACGGATCGGGCTGAAATTTGGCATACACGTAGATGTTATGACGTAGGCTTCCGCTAAGAAAGGATTTTGATTAATTCTACCCCCAAGGGGATAAAATAGAGGATGAAAGTTTGTATGACACTTTGTAAATTTTAAACCGATCGGGCTGAGACTTTGCATGCATAAAGCTACTATGACGTAGGCATCCCCTAAGAAAGGATTTTGATAAATTCCACCCCTAAGGGGATAAATTAACGCTTGCGAAGCCGCGGCCAAAAGCTAGTCTATAATAATATCTAAATATTTATATCAGTTGTCTAGTACCCATAACACTAGCTATATTAACCTTGGGGCCAGATGAAGTTGTGTAAATTGTCCAGGGAAAGTGATATTTGTTATTAAGTTCCATGTTTCAATAGTATCGCGCACCTAAGATTGAAATAGAAATAGAAATAATCATTCTTCAAATAAACTTAATATAAGCACATTTGGATAATCCCATTTTTTATGCTACCAGTGGTATCAATCAATCACCTGATTATCCAAGATGGCCGAAAAATGTTAAATAGGATGTTAAGTTGGTTTCGTTTCATGCAAAAACACAAAAAATATTAAATCTTATAAATTTTTGTTAATCCCGATAATCCCGGGATTTGTTACATAAAATCCCGAGATTTCCGGGACCGATATTTCGACCGGGATCAAATCCTCTAGCTACCACTTATTCGGAACGCAGACTCTTCACATGAAGAACGAATAAGAAACGTGTTTTGTTCTTTTAAATAAATGTTGTTCTAAGTAAATACACATTAACAAGGATTTGGCATGCGACAATCAACATAGAAATCGCTACTCCCTCAATTTTTGTTGATTCAGATAACATTGTTAGCGCTGTGTATTTTAAATTAGATTTTTCTATAAAAACATTACTATCATTTATAAATTCTTCAATTTAACAATAAGCTTTTTTTATATAGAAAATGTTTTATTTAATATATTCTTTATTGCGCAGATAATACAAAGATATTATAATTTAGAGACAATGTGAGCAAAGGTGGACTTATCACTAGAAGAGATCTCTTCCAGTCAACCTAAAACAGTGGCATAGGTGGTACCGACTGGGCAATAACTGGTGCAAACAAAAAAAAAAGATTATTATTTAGAGAATCTTATTTACTTATTCTCAATTATTAAGGCCAGATTCTGGCAGATTGTTTTGAAAGCAATTTCCATAAAATGAATTAACTAACTTTCGTCAAACGGTACTTAGGTAATAGCTATACTATCATACATATAGGTAATAATAAAAAACATATACATAAATTTACAATTTATCCTTGCAGGTATGCATACATCCATCTATAGCAAACTGTGGTTTACCAGGCCCGTCAACTACCACTAGTAGTAGTACCACAACTAGTACCACACCTAGTACCACTACCACAACTGAAGATCCATGTGAAACAGAAGCACCATGCGATGAGGACGGAAGACTACCGAACGGCTGTCCCGTGTGTCCCGACGTACACCTGCTCCTGCCTGCTGAAGACTGCGGCCAGTTCTACTACTGCGCACACGGAGACAAAGTGATAACAGATTGCCCAGCCGGACTTCACTTCAATCCCGTCTTACAGGTGAATTATTTATTGGTTAAAGAACACTTTTGACGGATTCGAGGGTGAAGCAGTTTAGCATATCGCTCTGCTTCCGATGGTCGTGAGGTTCGATTACAAATATTTGTGTTCATGAGATGTTTTTTTTACATTTGTCTTGATAATTCCTATGTATTGAAAATGTATCTACAAAAAAATATGTATTTATATCAGTTGTCTAGTACCCATAACACAAGCTCTGTTTAGCTTGGGAATGGACGACGCTGCGTAAAACATCCTTATTTAGGGAAATTATTATTCAAAAGTACTTGGAGTAGAGAAGGATATATTGACTTTTTTAATACCTACAGCGATATGGAATAAAAACAAAACAATTTACTATACAGAGTCAATGTGGACCTAAACTCAGCATGTCCTAGAAAATATGGTTTCCAGCTCATATATTCAATAACTTATATAAATTTCATCTTATTTAGATTAAGTTTAATTGAATAGAGATTCCATGTGGAGATTATTTCTATACTACTTCATTCTTAGAAGACTCCTATAAGAAAATATATAAACTTTCAAGATTAGGTTTAGAACGATAGTTGGAGATAGTGTTCAAATATGCGAAATGATTATTGGTGAAATTATACACAATAGTTTATGCCCCTTCTGTTATAGGTTTGTGACTGGCCACAAGTGGCCGGATGTGAACCGACCAGCCCACCCTGCACTCCAGAAAGTGGTAGTAATTGCGGAGAAAGCACTACTACTACTACAACCAGTACCACCTCTAGTACCACTACCAGTACCAGTACCACACCTAGTACCACTACCACAACTGAAGAGCCATGTGAAACAGAAGCACCGTGCGATGAGGACGCAAGACTACCGAACGGCTGCCCCGTATGTCCCGACGTACACCTGCTCCTGCCTGCTGAAGACTGCAGCCAGTTCTACTACTGCGCACACGGAGACAAAGTGATAACAGATTGCCCAGCCGGACTTCACTTCAATCCCGTTTTGCAGGTGAAATATGATATTTCCATGGTGCTTATTTATTTAATAATATATTAAAACTTATACAATATATTGCTTTTAATAATTCCGAGTGTATTCAATTTGTACGATTTTAGTAGTTGTTAAAAATAGCATTTTACTCAGTAATTTCACTGGCAAAAAAATTATATATTATGTTAGATTAGCTTAAAAGTATAAATTTTAAATAAAATTATTCTTCAGAATATTTTTATAATGTAAAAATAGACAAATCGTTTAAATATATAGTGAAAAATGTATGTCCTAAGAACATTGCTTTAAGATTAAATTATTTAATATACATAATATTTCCGCCACAGGTTTGTGACTGGCCACAAGTCGCCGGATGTGAACCAACCATTCCGCCCTGCACTCCAGAAAGTGGTAGTAATTGCGGTGAAAGCACTACTACTACTACAACTGGTACCACTCCTAGCACCACTACCACAACTAGTACCACACCTAGTACCACTACCACAACTGAAGAGCCATGTGAAACAGACCCACCGTGCGATGAGGACGCAAGACTACCGAACGGCTGCCCCGTGTGTCCCGACGTACACCTGCTCCTGCCTGCTGAAGACTGCGGCCAGTTCTACTACTGCGCACACGGAGACAAAGTGATAACAGATTGTCCAGCCGGACTTCACTTCAATCCTGTCCTACAGGTGGCATATTTGTCATTTTTATGTTGCTTATTTAAGTAATGATATATTCAAAAGTCTTATTTAATATATAAGGAGCTTTTAATAGTAATAGAGTCTGTATAAAATCCATTTGTAAGATTTTGCTAGTTGTTAAAAATAGTATTTTATCTCCCTGAAACTTCTTAGATATTCCGCAGATATTCTTTGCGTTTATAAAATTCTCAACAATTACATATGTATAGAATTTTACAAAAGTAAAGAATATTAGACACAGCGTAAGAGTACAGGTTTTAAATAAAATTACAATTATATGAATATAAGAATATTTAATACAAGTAGGTGTGTAAATGTATAATTTCTTCTATTTGATTATTTAATTGAATTAGTGTAATCGGTAGTTTGTATTCACACATTTAACTTAAATTGTAAAAGTAAGAATGAATTTATTTAAAAGAGTAAAACGCAAATTTCTTGTAATGAGACAGCTTTCCGAATGAGCGGTAGATTAAAAAAAATGTGATGACTATTCAAAAGTGCTTCAATGTAAGTTTATTTGAATAAATGATTTCTATTCTAATGTAAATACTAATAAATTCTTGATAGATAAATATATTTTAATGATTTAATATTCGAATGTGTTTTCTACAGGTTTGTGACTGGCCACAAGTGGCCGGATGTGAACCGACCAGCCCACCCTGCACTCCAGAAAGTGATAATAATTGCGGTGAAAGCACTACTACTACAACCACAACCAGTACCACACCTAGTACCACTACCAGTACCAGTACCACACCTAGTACCACTACCACAACTAGTACCACACCTAGTACCACTACTACAACTGAAGAGCCATGTGAAACAGAAGCGCCGTGCGATGAGGACGGAAGATTACCAAACGGCTGTCCCGTATGTCCCGACGTACACCTGCTCCTGCCTGCTGAAGACTGCGGCCAGTTCTACTACTGCGTACACGGAGACAAAGTGATAACAGATTGCCCAGCTGGACTTCACTTCAATCCTGTCCTACAGGTTAGATAAATATTTTATGCAAGTAGGTGTGTAAATATAAATATTATAAATTCTTGATAGATAAATATATTTAAATATCTGTCTATTTACATTTTCTAAAATAATAAGTCCGCTCTTAAGCAGAGCATAGAATTAGAGTGTTAAACTAGACTTTTAAAGGAAGACGGTGAAATATTAAACATATGGCTAAGACAATCGGCCATCAACTGAAAATGATTTAATACTCAAATCTATTTTCTACAGGTTTGTGACTGGCCACAAGTGGCCGGATGTGAACCGACCAGTCCACCCTGCACTCCAGAAAGTGGTAATAATTGCGGTGAAAACACTACTACTACAACCACAACCAGTACCACCCCTAGTACCACTACCACAACTAGTACCACACCTAGTACCACTACCACAACTGAAGAACCATGTGAAACAGACCCACCGTGTGATGAGGACGCAAAACTACCGAACGGCTGCCCCGTATGTCCCGACGTACACCTGCTCCTGCCTGCTGAAGACTGCGGCCAGTTCTACTACTGCGTACACGGAGACAAAGTGATAACAGATTGCCCAGCCGGACTTCACTTCAATCCTGTCCTACAGGTGACATATTTCTCAATTTCATAGTGCATGTTTCAATAATAATATATTATAAGCCTCTTAGTTTTTAATGAGGTTTTGTAATTTACATTTATTATATACTAGCTTTTGCCCGCGGCTTCGTTCGCGTTTATATTTCCCTTTGGCGGTAGAATTAATCAAAATCCTTTCTTAGCGGATGCCTACGTCATAACATCTACCTGCATACCAAATTGTCCCGATCCGTCCAGTGGTTTATAATTATGCGTTGATAGATCACTATGTCAGTCACCTTTGAGTTATGTATGTTTAGATTGTATAGGAGACATTTTTGACATTTGAATTATAATATTATGAGGTCCTGTTGTATATAAATATATATATATATATAACATATGTATGTTGTGTCACATTGCTATGACCTTTCAGGGCGTCACAAAAAATGGAAAACTCAACCACACTCTGTATGCATGTGCTTTATATTTTTGTGATACTGCAATAAATAAATAAATATATAATATACTAGCTGACCCATGCAACTTCGTCTGTATCACAGTTACTGGACATTTATCATTATATTTCGCCCAATTTACATAATATCTTTATAAATTATAGCCTATATATTATTTTGATGTATAAGCTATATCAATGTAAAGATTCATCAGAATCCGTTCAGTAGTTATTGTGTAAAAGTATAATAAACATCCAACTATGTATATTCATAAACTTTCACGTTTATAATATTAGAAAGAAGAGGAGCTTTTAATAGTAACAGAGTATGTTCAAAATCCATTTGTAAGATTTTGCAATTTGAATTCCAAGAGCGTCTTTAAAGTTGTGATGGAATTGTTAGAAATATCATTTTATGTCCACGAAACTTCTTAGATATTCTTCTGATATTCTCTGCCATTATAAAATTCTCAACAATAATAATATGTGCATAGTATTTTACAATAGTAAAGAATAATACATTCAGCTTAAAATATAAATTTTAAATAAAATTAGATGTTTATGAATATGAGAATATTTAATACTCGTATTAAATATTCTCATAAATAATGTATAAATTAATAAATCGTTCATAGATATATATGTATAACATGTCTGTACTGTCTAAGTTTTCCAAAATAATAAGAATAGTGCACGGAATTAGTATTAAACTAGACTTTTAAAGGAAGACGGTGAAATATTGAACATATGGCTAAGACAAGCGGCCATCAACTGAAAATGATTTAATACTCAAATGTGTTTTCTACAGGTTTGTGACTGGCCACAAGTAGCTGGATGTGAACCAACCAGTCCACCTTGTACACCAGAAAGCGGCGGTAATTGTGGTGAAAGCACTACTACTACTACAACCACAACCACACCTAGTACTACTACTACAGCCAGTACCACTACCACAAGCAGTACAACTCCCAGTACGACTACTACTACTAGTACCACACCGAGTACCACTACCAGTACCAGTACCACACCTAGTACCACTACTACAACTGAAGAGCCATGTGAAACAGAAGCACCGTGCGATGAGGACGGAAGATTACCGAACGGCTGTCCCGTATGTCCCGACGTACACCTGCTCCTGCCTGCTGAAGACTGCGGCCAGTTCTACTACTGCGTACACGGAGACAAAGTGATAACAGATTGCCCAGCTGGACTTCACTTCAATCCTGTCCTACAGGTTAGATACAGCTTAAAAGTATAGGTTTTAAATAAAATTACAATTATATGAATATGAGAATATTTTATGTAAGCAAGTGTGTAAATATAGATACTAATAAATTCTTGATAGATAAATATATTTAAATATCTATAATATTTACATTTTCTAAAATAATAAGTCCGCTCTTAAGCAGAGCATATAATTAGTGTTAAACTAGAGTTTTAAAGGAAGACGGTGAAATATTAAACATATAGTTAAGACAATCGGCCATCAACTGAAAATGATTTAATACTCAAATCTATTTTCTACAGGTTTGTGACTGGCCACAAGTGACCGGATGTGAACCGACCAGCCCACCCTGCACTCCAGAAAGTGGTAATAATTGCGGTGAAAACACTACTACTACAACCACAACCAGTACCACCCCGAGTACCACTACCACAACTAGTACCACACCTAGTACCACTACCACAACTGAAGATCCATGTGAAACAGAAGAACCGTGTGATGAGGATGCAAGACTACCGAACGGCTGCCCCGTATGTCCCGACGTACACCTGCTCCTGCCTGCTGAAGACTGCGGCCAGTTCTACTACTGCGTACACGGAGACAAAGTGATAACAGATTGCCCAGCCGGACTTCACTTCAATCCTGTCCTACAGGTGACATATTTCTCAATTTCATAGTGCATGTTTCAATAATAATATATTATAAGCCTCTTAGTTTTTAATGAGGTTTTGTAATTTACATTTATTATATACTTTTTGCATCACGGCTTCACTGGTTTATAAAGGCGGTAGAATTAATGAAAATATATTTTAGCGGATATTTACGTGATATCTTTGTAAAGATTCATCAGAATCCTTTAAGTAGTTATTGTATGAAAATATAACAGTTATACATACTATAGACATAAACATTTTTCACGTTTATAATATTAGCAAGATGTATATAAATATATATATATATATAACAGAGTATGTTGGACATAATCCATTTGTAAAATTTTGCAATTCAAAGTCCAAGTATGTGTATTTATAAGTTATGATAGAATTGTTAGAAACATATATAATTATGCCTGACCCGAAACTTCTTAGATATTCCTCTGATATTTATTTGCCTTTATAAAATCCTAAACAGCCTATATATATGCGTAGTATTTTACAGTAGTAAACAATAATATATTCAGCTTAAAAGTATAAATTTTAAATAAAATTAGAAGTTAATGAATTTCAGAATATTTAATACAAGTAGCTGTTTAAATGTATAAATTAATAAATCGTTCATAGATATGTATGTGTAATATGTATGTACTGTCTAAATTTTCTACAATAATGAGAATAGGACACGGAATTAGAGTGTTAAACTAGACTTTTAAAGGAACACGGTGAAATATTGAACATATGGCTAAGAAAATTATTTAATATTCAAATGTGTTTTCTACAGGTTTGTGACTGGCCACAAGTAGCTGGATGTGAAACCAGCCCAAATCGTGCACTCCAGAAAGTGGTGGTAATTGCGGTGAAAACAGTACTTCTACAACCACAACCAGTACCACCCCTAGTATCACTACCACAACTAGTACCACACCTAGTACCACTACTACAACTGAAGAGCCATGTGAAACAGAAGCACCGTGCGATGAAGACGCAAGACTACCAAATGGCTGCCCCGTATGTCCCGACGTACACCTGCTCCTACCTGCTGAAGACTGCAGCCAGTTCTACTACTGCGCACACGGAGACAAAGTTATAACAGATTGCCCAGCTGGACTTCACTTCAATCCCGTTTTGCAGGTGAAATATGAAATATTTCCATGGTGCTTATTTATTTAATAATATATTAAAAACCCTTATACAATATATAAGAAGCTTTTAATAATAATAGAGTCTATATAAAATCAATTTGTACGATTTTAGTAGTTGTTAAAAATAGCATTTTATCTCCCTGAAACGCAGAAATTTCACTGATATTCTTTGCTTTTATAAAATTCTCAACAATTACTCATGTATATAATTATACAATAGTAAAGAATAATACATTCAGCTTAAAAGTATAAATTTTAAATAAAATTAGAAGTTTATGACTATGAGAATATTTAATACAAGTAGCTGTTTAAATGTATAAATTAATAAATCGTTCATAGATATGTATGTGTAATATGTATGTACTGTCTAAATTTTCTAAAATTATAGGCATAGGGCACGGAATTAAAGTGTTAAACTAATTTTTTAAAGGAAGACAGTGAAATATTAAACATATGGCTAAGAAAATGATTTAATACTCAAATGTGTTTTCTACAGGTTTGTGATTGGCCACAAGTAGCTGGATGTGAACCGACCAGCCCACCCTGTACACCAGAAAGCGGCGGTAATTGTGGTGAAAGCACTACTACTACTACTACAACCACAACCACACCTAGTACTACTACTACAGCCAGTACCACTACCACAAGTAGTACAACTCCCAGTACGACTACTACTACTAGTACCACCTAGTACCACACCTAGTACCACTACCACAACTGAAGAGCCATGTGAAACAGAAGCACCGTGCGATGAGGACGCAAGACTACCGAACGGTTGCCCCGTATGTCCCGACGTACACCTGCTCCTGCCTGCTGAAGACTGCGGCCAGTTCTACTACTGCGTACTCGGAGACAAAGTGATAACAGATTGCCCAGCCGGACTTCACTTCAATCCTGTCCTACAGGTTAGATACAGCTTAAAAGTATAGGTTTTAAATAAAATTACAATTATATGAATATGAGAATATTTTATGTAAGTAAGTGTGTAAATATAAATACTAATAAATTCTTGATAGATAAATATATTTAAATGTCTATACTATTTACATTTTTTTAAATAATATGTCCTCTCTTAAGCAGGGTATAGAATTAGAGTGTTAACTAAAGTTTTAAAGGAAGACGGTGAAATATTAAACATATGGCTAAGACAAGCGGCCATCAACTGAAAATGATTTAATACTCAAATGTGTTTTCTACAGGTTTGTGACTGGCCACAAGTGGCCGGATGTGAACCGACCAGCCCACCCTGCACTCCAGAAAGTGGTGGTAATTGCGGTGAAAACAGTACTACTACAACCACAACCAGTACCACCCCTAGTACCACTACCAGTACCAGTACCACACCTAGTACCACTACCACAACTGAAGAGCCATGTGAAACAGAAGCACCGTGCGATGAGGACGCAAGACTACCGAACGGCTGTCCCGTGTGTCCCGACGTACACCTGCTCCTGCCTGCTGAAGACTGCGGCCAGTTCTACTACTGCGTACACGGAGACAAAGTGATAACAAATTGCCCAGCTGGACTTCACTTCAATCCTGTCCTGCAGGTGACATATTTGTCAATTTCATAGTGCATGTTTCAATTATAATATATTAAAAGCCTCTTATATAATATACTAGCTGACCCATGCAACTTTGTCTGCATCACACTCACTGGAAAAGGCGAAATATAATGATAAATATATTTTACCTTATTTACGTGATATCTTTGTAAAGATTCATCAGAATCCTTTAAGTAGTCATTGTGTGATTATATATATAACAAACATCCAACTATAGTCATAAACTTTCACGTTTATAATATTAGCAAGATGAGGAGCTTTTAATTGTAACAGAGTATGGACTTAATCCATTTGTAAAATTTTGCAATTCAAAGTCCAAGTGTATTTAAAGTTATGATAGAATTGTTAGAAATATCATTTTATGTCCACGAAACTTCTGAGATATTCCGCTGATATTCTTTGCCTTTATAAAATTCTAAACAGCAACAAATGCATTGTATTTTACAATAGTAAAGAATAATACATTCAGCTTAAAAGTATAAATTTTAAATAAAATTAGAAGTTTATGACTATGAGAATATTTAATACAAGTAGCTGTGAAAATGTAAAAATAGACAAATCGTTCATAGATATATATGTGAAAAATGTATGTATCGTCTAAGTTTTCTAAAATTATAGGCATAGGGCACGGAATTAAAGTGTTAAACTAGACTTTTAAAGGAAGACGGTGAAATATTAAACATATGGCTAAGATAATTATTTCATTTTCAAATGTGTTTTCTACAGGTTTGTGACTGGCCACAAGTGGCCGGATGTGAACCGACCAGCCCACCCTGCACTCCAGAAAGTGGTGGTAATTGCGGTGAAGACAGTACTACTACAACCACAACCAGTACCACCCCTAGTACCACTACCACAACTAGTACCACACCTAGTACCACACCTAGTACCACTACTACAACTGAAGAGCCATGTGAAACAGAAGCACCGTGCGATGAGGACGGAAGACTACCGAACGGCTGCCCCGTGTGTCCCGACTTACACCTGCTCCTGCCTGCTGAAGACTGCGGCCAGTTCTACTACTGCGTACACGGAGACAAAGTGATAACAGATTGCCCATCCGGACTTCACTTTAATCCTGTGTTACAGGTAATTTTTTTTAAGTTAGTTATTACTTAAATGACGGCGATACTTTCCTAATTGAGTAAAGAGATGATTTGCATAGTCATAGTTTATTTATTATATTTTAGTCACTTAATAGTATGATCTTTATTCTTTTATCGCATTCAAGTATCTCTGCACATCCCAAAGGTTTACTGGGAGAGAATTATATACTATTAAGTCCACATTTTGTAACAATCATATTGGTCAATAAAGCAAATAAATAAATCTATAATTCAAAATATTATATATCATATTACCTTAATTAACGAACGTAAAACACTAGTTCACATTTTTGTAGTGAGATACAACAGTAATTTTACTCCATTGAAAGTTTGCCACTTATTTACTTAAGAATGCAATATTCTTATTAAATGACAAAATACAATTAAAATAAGACAAACCTTTTTTATAATACTAACAGAATTAAGACTAGAATAATAGATTATTGGGGTGATGGGGGGGGGGGGGGGGGGAGGCAGAATTATAATACTTTGAAAAAATAGTATATGTGTCTGAACATTGTTTTAGACTAAATTCTTTAATATACATAATATTTCTGCCACAGGTTTGTGATTGGCCACAAGTCGCCGGATGTGAACCAACCATTCCGCCCTGCACTCCTGAAAGTGGTGGTAATTGTGGAGAAAGTACTACTACTACTAGTACCACACCCAGTACCACTACCAGTACCAGTACCACACCTAGTACCACTACCACAACTGAAGAGCCATGTGAAACAGAAGCACCGTGCGATGAGGACGCAAGACTACCGAACGGCTGCCCCGTATGTCCCGACGTACACCTGCTCCTGCCTGCTGAAGACTGCGGCCAGTTCTACTACTGCGCACACGGAGACAAAGTGATAACAGATTGCCCAGCTGGACTTCACTTCAATCCCGTTTTGCAGGTGAAATATGAGTTATTAAATGCAATAATTGCTATTCAGAATTAAGACTAGTATAATAGATTACTGGGGAGGGGGGGCCAAATTATAATACTTTGAAAAAATAGTATATGTACCCGAACATTGCTTTTAGACTAAATTCCTTAATATACATAATATTTCTGCCACAGGTATGTGATTGGCCACAAGTCGCCGGATGTGAACCAACCATTCCGCCCTGCACTCCCGAAAGTGGTGGTAATTGTGGAGAAAACACTACTACTACCACTACTACTAGTACCACACCGAGTACTACTACCACACCTAGTACAACTACTACAACTGAAGAGCCATGTGAAACAGAAGCACCGTGCGATGAGGACGAAAGACTACCGAACGGCTGCCCCGTATGTCCCGACGTACACCTGCTCCTGCCTGCTGAAGACTGCGGCCAGTTCTACTACTGCGTACTCGGAGACAAAGTGATAACAGATTGCCCAGCCGGACTTCACTTCAATCCTGTGCTGCAGGTGAATTACGCGTTATTTAAATGAGATCTAATTGCTATGGTTGTCAAATGTCAATTAAGACTAGTATAATAAGATTCCGCGGGCTATTCGGAATCAAATATACCAAGCAGATTTATCATTATTAATTATAGCATTCACTACAACCTCAATATCTCCTACCTTATTATATTATTATATATATTGTCAGCTATGAAAAGTAAGCTTCACATTTATTATCATTACTTTCTCTATCCTAGCCCCCATGCTTACGTAAACATTTCTCAATTAATGTATTGTTTTTTTAAAAAAGACAATGTGAGGGTTGCCATTCGTGTAAAAAAGTAAATTACTACCGATGACGTAATCATCATACAGACTCTCCCACACCCATGTCATCCATGTGAAAATAAGCAATGAAAATGGCTGCCCCGTATGTCCCGACGTATAGTGCTTACGTGAAATACAGTTCTACTACTGTGCACACGGAGACAAAGTTATAACAGATTGCCCAGCTGGACTTCACTTCAATCCCGTTTTGCAGGTGAAATAAGTTTTTAAACTATTATTCTTAATTTATAATACTTTGAAAAAATAGTATATGTACCCGAACATTGCTTTTAGACTAAATTCCTTAATATACATAATATTTCTGCCACAGGTATGTGATTGGCCACAAGTCGCCGGATGTGAACCAACCATTCCGCCCTGCACTCCCGAAAGTGGTAGTAATTGTGGAGAAAACACTACTACTACCACTACTACTAGTACCACACCGAGTACTACTACCACAACTAGTACCACACCTAGTACCACTACTACAACTGAAGAGCCATGTGAAACAGAAGCACCGTGCGATGAGGACGGAAGACTACCGAACGGCTGCCCCGTGTGTCCCGACTTACACCTGCTCCTGCCTGCTGAAGACTGCGGCCAGTTCTACTACTGCGTACACGGAGACAAAGTGATAACAGATTGCCCAGCCGGACTTCACTTCAATCCTGTGCTGCAGGTGAAATATTTGTTGTTTTACACAAGTGATTTACTGCTCAGACTTAAACGAAATGATAGTGAGATCTAATTCAGTTGACTCTCCAAAAACTTTGGTTGTCAAATGTCAATTTATATTTCTGATTAATTCGTCGGTGAGGGAAATACGAACTATACGAGAGATGATTTTAAAATTCCGCGCAGTCTATTCGGAATCAAATATACCAATGCGAAATTGCCCATATTTCGCATTATTAATTGTAGCATTCACTACAACATCTCACCGATCAATATCTCTGACTACTCTTATTATATTATTATATATATAATGTACTTATGAACTATGAATAAAGTTCAGCTTCACATTTATTATCATTACTTTCTCTATCCAATAGTAGTTTGGAAGAGATCTAAGCAAGATCACATACGTTTTCAGTTTATGTAAATTTATAATTCTAATTATTTTCCCTTATATGATTCTGTATAGACTTTAAATAAATAAAAAAAATATTATGTGTATATAATAAGTCAAGAATACCAAACATACTTTTTGGATAAAATACTTAATATTTCTTCTACAGGTTTGTGACTGGCCACAAGTCGCCGGATGTGAACCAACCATTCCGCCCTGCACTCCTGAAAGTGGTGGTAATTGTGGAGAAAACACTACTACTACCACTACTACTAGTACCACACCGAGTACTACTACCACAACTAGTACCACACCTAGTACCACTACTACAACTGAAGAGCCATGTGAAACAGAAGCACCGTGCGATGAGGACGGAAGACTACCGAACGGCTGTCCCGTATGTCCCGACGTACACCTGCTCCTGCCTGCTGAAGACTGCGGCCAGTTCTACTACTGCGCACACGGAGACAAAGTGATAACAGATTGCCCAGCCGGACTTCACTTCAATCCTGTGCTACAGGTGAATTATGCGTTTTTTAAATCCAATAATTGCTATTCATAATTAACACGAATATAATAGATTTTTGAGGGTGGCAAAATTATAATACTTTGAAAAAAAATAGCATATTATTATGTGTCCGAACATTGCTTTTAGATTTAATTCTTTAATATATATAATATTTCTGCCACAGGTTTGTGACTGGCCACAAGTCGCCGGATGTGAACCGACCAGCCCACCCTGTACTCCAGAAAGTGGCAGTAATTGCGGTGAAAGCACTACTACTACAACAACCAGTACCACCCCTAGTACCACTACCACAACTAGTACCACACCTAGTACCACTACCACAACTGAAGATCCATGTGAAACAGAAGCACCATGCGATGAGAACGCAAGACTACCGAACGGTTGCCCCGTGTGTCCCGACGTAGACCTGCTCCTGCCTGCTGAAAACTGCGGCCAGTTCTACTACTGCGTACACGGAGACAAAGTGATAACAGATTGCCCAGCCGGACTTCACTTCAGTTCTGCATTACAGGTAAACTATTTATAATGTATAAATATTTAAAAGCCAAAGTTTCAAGCCTATCTGTCTAAACGGTGTAATGCTTCCAGTCTGCTCCGATTTTCGGTACCTCGATTCAGTTATTCAGAACAATGCCGACATAGACCGCGATATAAGGCACAGAATTGTAAGGCACGGGATGGATGAAATGGCGACAGGTCTCGGGAACGATATGCGACCACCGAATGCCCTTGAAACTAAAGGGTAAAGTTTATAAATCTATCATAGGTCCTGTCATTTTGTATGGATCTGAATGTTAGGCCGTACGGGACGGACGAAAGGCATGTGAATATGGCAGAAATGCGAATGTTGAGATGGATGTGTGGGGTCACCAGAAATGACAGTATAAGGAATGTGTAAGGAATGAGGAAGTTTGAAAGTTGCGCCCGTTATACAAAAGTTGCGAGGTAGATTGAGCTGGTATGGGCATGTTATGCGGAGGAACGAGGATCATGTCTTATGTAAAGTGAAAATATGAATGTGGATGGATGTAAAGGGAGGGCACGTCCTAAGAAAAGATGTATGGTTTGTGTGAAAGATAATATGGATAAAAGAAGAGTATGTTCAGATATGACGACCGATAGAGAGCAAGAGAGAATGACATACTGCGCCGACCACAAATAATGAGATAAAGGCAAGGCAATGATGAATAATGAAATATTTAAAAGCCAATTCATTACGAAGTAAATAAACTGGCTTTTAAAAAAAAGAAATTCAATTGCGTTTCGTGCTAGTACTTTTCAAGTGATTGAATCTATATGTCCTACATGATTTTGATTTGGTTTTTCAATTGATTGATTCTATATACTGAACGTTTAAACGTAATTCTTAAAAATATTATACAAATTATCAATAAAAATTTCTTTACTACTTGACGTTTATATTTTTGCGACTAAAATGCCTAAATGATCTCAAAGTTATGATATGTCAAATCTACTTTCATCTAGTTCTTGGGGGTGATTTCGAGATTAGAAGAACTGACAACATAACTCAAAGTCTAGTGGTATTATTTTCAAACAAATGTATATATATTTAGATTCCATATCAGATGTACAGCATTCATTATCAAATTCAAATTTGCGAAGAATGCTTGTGGGGACCTCTGACAGCATATGCTATAGCAATTTTGTCAAAAGCAAATTGTGTACTCACTGTTCGTAACTGAAAAAAGACCAGCCAGAGTATGGCGGGTAGAGTATCATAAGGTCTTTTTTTTTTGTTTAATATATAGTTAATTATCATTGCAGAATGCTGAACATCTATGACTATGGAATCTAAACATATAAATAAAATTATTATAATTTTTTTGTTGATTTATATAAAAACAAACTCGTGTTTCTTCCACAGGTTTGTGACTGGCCGCAAACAGCCGGATGTGAACCGACCAGACCTCCTTGTACCACAACCACTACGTCAGGGAACTGCGTGTAAATTAATATAATAACTAGCAAATATTACAACATAGGACAAAATTGCAATACTACATACACGGAATATCCAAAACAATTGCCAGATTCAGCGATTTATTTATTTATTTCCGTTGCTTTACACAATTACGGTACACAATGAATTATTTCATACACATAACATGCACCTCTTAGGCACAGCAACGTGTAAGAGAGGCGGATGTTTTAAATACCATACTAATCAATATCGTACAAATACTCTTCAATATTGTAATAAGCTTTATTCATCAACATTTGTGTTAATTGGATAATAAATTTATTATATCTATTCTCATTTTTTATAATATCAGGTAATTTATTTTATATTTTTATTGCCATGGAATAGGGGAATTCAAATATCTACCAAATCACGTGTAGCAAGTATGTACAAAGGTTAAATAAATGTAAATGATTATTTTAATAGCAAAGTTAAATAGTATTATTCTTTTATACCACCTACGCACCTGACTTTCACTGTTGTTTGCATATATTTATATATATATTGTGTATCTTTTACATAGTATAAAATAAAGTCGCTGTCGTTGTCTGTCCGTCCCTATGTGTGCTTAAATCTTTAAAACTACGCAACGGATTTTGAAGCGGTCTTTTTAATAGATAGAGTGATTCTAGAGGAAGGTTTATATATATAATACATGTACACCCGTGCGAAGCCGGGGGGAGTCAGTCATACTCGTGAACGGGTGCTGCTTGTAGGGACTGGTCTGCTCTAATCACTATGATGTTTGTTATGTATTCAATATTTTTTACTCTTTCACGCAAAAATTATGAATGGATTTTGATGTAACTTTACAGTAATATATAGCTCATACATCAGAATAACATAGACTAGATAATTTAAAAAGATATTATGTAAATTCATCAAAAAGTGTGATGCAGACAAAGTTGCGCGGGTCACCTAGTATACCTAATATAATAACTCAGGACTATTCACACAGCGCCATCTAGTCACACGCTAAGCAGAGCTTGTGTTATGAGTAGGTACTAGACAACTGACACAAATACATAATTATCAAACAATCATACTCATGAATACAAATGTTTGTACCGTGCAAGGAATCGAACCCACGACCATCGGCATATATATTTATATATATAAAATACATAGTATAAAATACTGTATACTTAAACAAAAACTAGATTTTGAAAAACTCTTTGGAGTTTATATATATAAACTTAATCGATTTATTATGCGATTTTGAATTGGAATGTATTCTACGCAAAATTGAAATTCAAAATTGTAATATATTATACATCAGAATCATGTATAAAAACAAAAACTAGTTTGAAAACACTCTTTGGAGAACAACTTAATCGATTTATATGCGATTTTCATTAATGTATTCTAACAAGATTAATTCAAATATGTATTTTATCATATCTGTATACAAACAAAAACTAGTTTGAAAACACTCTTTGGAGAACAACTTAATCGATTTATATGTGATTTTCATTAATGTATTCTAACAAGATTAATTCAAATATGTATTTTATCATATCTGTATACAAACAAAAACTAGTTTGAAATCAATTTTTGGAGCTAAATCGGTACCATAGACTCAACAAAGCTAGGCGCTCTCTTTTCATAGAATCTTCAAAGTTATCAACAATCGTGGATTAAAAGTAATAGCATTAACACGTTAATATATAATCGTATGATTACTCAACTGTTTATGTGTATTTGTATTTAAAAGAAGTGCAATGAGGAAAAAAAAAGAAAAAAGGTGAATGAATGCTGATATCTCTTATTTATATATATATATATACTATATATATATATATATATATAGCTATAATATATATATATATTATATATTATATAGCTACCCACCCCGGCTTCGCACGGATGTACATGTATAATATATATAAACCTTCCTCTTGAATCACTCTATCTATTAAAAAAACCGCTTTAAAATCCTTTGCGTAGTTTTAAAGATTTAAGCATACATTGGAACGGACAGACAGCGACAGCGACTTTGTTTTATACTATGTAATGATTCTTTTTATGGATGATAATGGAATAATGCACTCGCCTGCGCTAACAGTTTCCGCTAGCGGAGTGGAGGATAAGATCAGCATGAGATCAGGTCAGTAAGCCCATCGTGACAAATTCACTAGGTATTTATTACGATGGTTTCCAGGGGTAACCGCGTGGAGGTCGACCTGACCTGGTACATTGTTAGTAATAGGGTCAAAAGTCCACATTACTAACAATTCAGTGCGGAAATCTGATCACCGCTACTGCAAGCGTTATCCTCTATTGGTGATCAAATTCCGACCACTATCGAGTCTACACCCATATTGCGACACGTGTTTCGTCTCTGAACGAGGCATCATCAGGCAATGAATAGATTCAGGTATAGCTTGGAAGACTAGTGTTGACTATTCGGCGAGCAAGCTGGACAATCAATATTAGGATAGGATAAAACCTAATTCTATAAACACTATAAAAAAAAACACTTTTTGCAATATCATCATCATCGCAGCCCGGAAGACGTCCACTGCTGGACATAGGCCTCCCCCAAAGATCTCCACTTTTTGCAATATAACCTTTTTATAATAATACACTTGGACAATTCACACAGCATCTCCTAGTCCCAAGTTAAGGAGAGCTTATATTGTGGGTACTAGACAACTGATATAAATACTTAGATTTTTTTTAAATATGAATATACATAGAAAACACCCAGACCGATATAAACAATCATACTCGTGAATGTTTGAGCCATGCGAGATAATAATAATAATAATCTCAGGACAATTCACACAGCGCCATCTAGACCCAAGTTAAGCTAGCTAAAGCTTGTGTTATGGGTACTAGACAACTGATACAAATACATAGAGAATTTCTTTTTAATGTTAATATAACTTAATTGTACAACTAATAACCTAAAATTAAAAAGCTTAAAAAATATAATATAATAACTAAAATATATTATTAAAAGGGGTCCCTTTAGGCAAAGTTCCGAAGATACTGGCAGCGTTCCCTCTTTGAATAGCTAGACTAATTCTTTGTCCAAGGTAGCTGCCAGCTCTTCGGTCTTCTGTGATGTCGACTAACCTTTTTGTTTTTTTTTTCGTAAATACATACATATTATACATAGAAAACATCGATACCGGCGTTGTGTGTTGAGAAAATTGAATTCAATTGATTTAATTAAAAATTGAATTGAATTGAATTGAAAATTGAATTGAATTGAATTATAAAAAACAATATTTTCCTTATAAGTAAAGTGCAAACAACGATTATGTTAATAGTACTCAGAAATCAGAGATTTTTCCGATAATCCCTCGTTAATCGCAAAGAATGTGGATGTATTCATATCAATGTAACTGCTAGCTGTGGATAATACGTGGAAATTTATTGTGATTTCATTTAATCATCTATGGCATTGATAACAGAGTGGATTATGGATTGTTTCAATCTGTTTAATATACGGTTGTAATATTGCAATCTTTAATTTTATAAATGAACTAGCTTTTGCCCGCGGCTTCACTAAAGTTAATTTATCCCCTTAGGGGTGGAATTTATCAAAATACTTTCTTAAGGGATGCCTACATGACAGTAGCTTTATGCATGCAAAGTGTCAGCCAGATCGGTTTAAAATTGACAAAGTTTCATACAAACTTTCATCCCCTATTTTATCCCCTTGGAGGTAGAATTAACCAAAATCCTTTCTTAGCGGATGCCTCCGTCGTAACATCTACCTGCATGCCAAATTTCAGCCTGATCCGTGCAGTGGTTTGGGCTGTGCGTTGATAGATCACTATATCAGTCACCTTTGAGTTAGTTATATAGATTGAAAATCTAATAAAATAAACTTAAAAACCTTAAAACAAAGTACGTAACGTAATCAGTGCGTCCTATTCTACCACTAATAGCAACACAGAACAACACAGAACGACAAGACAACAAATTAGAGTATTGCTCTTTTAAACAAATGTTATTCAATATGATTTTATTAACAATTTTCTGTGAATCATCATCACCATCATCATCGCAGCCCGGAAGACGTCCACTGCTGGATATCCTCCCCCAAAGAACTCCACGACGATCGGTCCTGCGCTGTGAATACAAACTGCTAAATACCAAAGTTGACATCAATTACTTTCTGATGGTTATTGATGAGTTTTTTAAAAGACAAAGAAAGTTCAGTTAATTTATTTATTTAAATTTAAATTACAATTAGGAATCTCGATTGATTCAACTTATAACTACATTAACCTATTCGCGTTCACGACTAAAACTAGAGTGACCATGCACTTGCCGTCCTATATTCTTGTACCTCTTGGATGCCGTTCTTTTAGTCATCAACTGTTGGAAAGTATTGGGACATACTTTCCAAGAACAATCGCTGTATCCATGCTGATTGTGTAACAAGCAGGTAATTATATGGACCTAGGGTTTGTACCCGTAACACATCTATACATATAAATAAAATTGGAGTGTCTGTAATATTGAAATAACCGTTGTTTTACTACATGCATATGAAAATAAATACGGTACATACACCAAAATTACATATTTTTACAATTTTTGGCTGATTTATGTTCCGGCTAATCTCTGAAATGGCTGGACCGATTTTGACGGGACTTTTATTGGCAGGTAGCTGGTGTAACAAGGAGTAACTTAGGCTACCTTTATTTTAGAAACATTCTTTTATTTTAGAAAAATAGTAAGTAAATAAATTGTTACTAGAATAACAAACTAAATCAATAATAGTTATCAGAACAGACCAGATTCTACTGTAGCGCCTATGAGGTTATACGAGCATATAAACATACTTGCTTCTTTCCATCAAATCGATTCATTTCCATTAATATTATAATATATATGCAATAAACTTATTAATATTATATATACGCAGAAGTTTGTGAGTATGGATGGATGTTTGTTACCCTTTCACGCAAAAACTACTAAACAGATTTTAATGAAATTTTTCAGTAATATAACTTATACATCAGAAT